GTACTGCTCTGTAAACCTCATCTATATTAAGCCATTAAATCTGCAACACAAAGCAAACTCTAATTTAAGAAGGGGTCACAGCCTTAAAGCTAATTTCACAGTGTGAGCTATATAATCAAAGAGCTTGTGAAAGAATCTTGTCTCACTGAAAAACCTGGGTTTTTTTTTCTCTTTACACATTCTTTATAAGACACATTTTCCTCCAAAGTAGATCAATTTGGCCAAACAAAGTGGTGATAACAGTAGACCAAAAGGATTTTCCCATGGTCCTCTTTCCCTCCTCCCCCTACTTTCCAGCACATTGACCTTAAAATAGCACTGCCACACTATCCTTGACCTCCAGCTCAGTCCCTTAAAGCCAGGAGAAATAGCTGGGATAACCCCGTAATAGATTAGTCTGCAAGGAAAAAAAACGAGCCCAACATTTCTAAAAGAATTAAAGAGCAGCAGTTAAGAACACACACACACACACAGGCTGTATGTTTTGTGTGCAGAAAGATTGATAGAGGGCATGGGGAATTAATTAATCTAAGAAGCTCAGGGGTTTGATCTTGAGCCAGTCATGGAACTGAAAGAGGCCTCCTAAGCCATCGAGTCCTACCCTCTGCTCAAAGCAGGACCTGCAGCTAAAATGTCCTCAGGAAGTAGTTAGCCAGTTTTTTTTTTGTTTTTTTTTTTTTGAGGAGACAGCTCTTGCATTACCTCAAAATTGCAATCATGGCACTCCTCAGTCTTCTCTTCACCAAAGCTAAACATGCCCAGCTTTTTCAACATCTCCTCATCTGTTTTATACTCCACATGTTTTATCATCATACTTGCTGTTCCCTGAACCTGCTACTTCTCTATATCTTTCTTAAAATGACATGCCCAGAAATGAATGCAGAGGACCGATCAATGCATGGGTGGCACAAGCCCTTGAGATGCTACTCACTCAGAAATAGATTTTAGTAAATTCAGAGACACCAACTTCCCTAAGTGTCCACAAAGTTCTACAATATAGTTGTGAGTGCACATTTGTGACATATTGCATGTCATTTATAAATAGCTGCAGTTCTCCAATACAATTCTAGGGTAGACCAGGACCAGAAAGCATGTTATTACACAATGCTGAGGTCATACATATGGTTTCAGGTAATCATGGTCTAGCAGGGATCCTTTCCCCTGCTGATATGGAGGTCTTACTGTAAGGTGTGTATGTAATGTCATGTGTCCATTTAATGACAAGGACTGAAAAGCTGCATCATGAGGAAAACTACTTTAGCATGTAATAAATTCTTTCTACTTGAGAAATTATAACATGGGCGGTATAAAAATAAAGCCTTTACCGATAATCATTTCCAATGCTTACTTAAAATAGGTTTAAAAATCAAACATCTATTGATACCAAATCGGCTTTACGAAACAGGCTGGTCTTTCTTTTTATGAAGTATAGCATAAGCATCCTCTGCAGAGTCCACTGTAAACACTGCACAACAGATTTGTGTAAACGGCTATAAAGCTGTCACTAGGTTACTGTCAGATTTTTTTGTGTGTGTCACAAGCAACTTGAGAAAACAAGGAAACTGTACCTCAGTTAGGATACTGAATGTTCTCTAATATGAAGGATCCCATACCACCTTTTTCATGCAATTATCGTCCTCAAGGACCCTTAGAAGATAGAAACTTGCATCAGACCACTTTGGAACTGGTTTGATTTTGTTGCACACCTAGACTCAGTCTGCTCCCCTATGCAGCAGTGTAGTCTATGCCTAATTCCATGGCAAAGGTGCATCCATAGTGCCGTGTGGAATACATCGCACCATGTTAAAACAGTGGCTATGGCTCTTAATGAGACATGCCAAGTTATCACAGGAGGTCTCTGCCCCACACCACTGGATAAATTATGCAGTTTAGCTGGGTTTTTTTGTGGGTTTTTTGTGGGGTTTTTTTCGTGTTAGGAGCAGCTTGAGAAACTGCAAGCCACTTCTGGTGTGAGAGAATTGGCCGTCTGAAAGGACGTTGCCCAGGGGACGCCCAGATGTTTTGATGTTTTACCATCCTTGTGGGAGGCTTCTCTCATGTCCCTGCATGGGGAGCCAGAGCTGACAGAGTGGTCATCCGTGCTCTCCCCTGTCAGTCTTCAGTCCTGGCACAAGGGTTTAAGCCATTGCATCACCGGGGGATACTTTTAGTTAGTATTGCACTAACTGGCATCCGTCAGGAAGTAGCAGCCAACAGTGAAAGAACCGAGGCAGTGACATCTCTGGCCCATCATCTGTTTGGATATCAGCCAGCATGGCAACAGCTTAAATCAAGAAACAGCTTCCTAAGATTGAGAGAGGTACTTGCAGGAACACCTCAGCAAGCAAGAACGCAAAAGTGGCAGGTTAAAACCCACCACCTTAATCAGTAACTGAGACCGGACAAGAGACTCCCTCCTGGGCACAAAGAAGATTGGGTGACCTGAACAGGCTACACTCTGGCATCACGAGATGCAGAGCTAACCTTAAGAAATGGGGCTGCAAAGTGGAGTCCACAACATGCAAGAGAGGAGGAGAACAAACCACTGACCACCTGCTGCAGTGCTACAAAGCAACATGAAGCCCTGCCATAAGCACAATGGAGGACCTTCTCACAGCGACACCAGAGGCACTCCAAGTGGCCAGCTTCTGAACAAAGGAAATTTAGAAGAATGCCAAGTTTTTTTTAAAAAAAACTGTGTTTTTTAAAATGCATTTTAACTTATTATGATTATGTTTTTGGCTTTGTACAGTTTTTATATTGCTAAATGTTTTAATTGTATTTTATAATTGTTTTAATTGTATTTATAATTGTTGAGGCATCGAATTGTTGCCGACTGTGAACCGACTTGAGTTGCCTCCGGGCCGAGAAAGGTGGTATATAAGTCTGATAAATAAATAAATCAAACTATATAAATAAAAATGTAATGTTCATTTGTGGGATTAACATTACTCAAAAACCACTGGATGAATTGACACCAAATTTGGACACAATACACCTATCAGGCCAATGAGTGATCATCACTCATAAAAACACTGAAAAACACAACAGAAGGGACTTAGAAAGCCAAAAAAGGGGGGAAAAGATGCTACAGGGCATGCACAAAAACGACTCCCCCGGCAAACAAAACACACAATAGAATATCCACACTGTCTTCCAGACTACAGCTCCCAGCAACCCCTAGACCAGGCCCTTTAGGAGAGGGGGATGATCCAAATGCACTGCTTCCAAGCTGCAAGCTTTCTTCTCCTTGGATTTGAGAGCATCCCAATCCCTGGATACTTCCAGTTTCCTATTCCTGGACTGCAAATTCCCAGCAGTCCTCCAGATAGATAGGTAGATTGATCAGGAGGAATACTGGGAGTTGCAGTCCAAAAATAGGCAAAGAAGGAAAAAAAAGGGAAAGGAAAGAAAAAGGGGGGAAGGAAAGGATGAGGAAGAGAAGGAAGGAGAAAAGGAAAGACTGAAACGGAGGGAAGTAAGGAGAGAAAGAGAGGAAGAGAGGAAGGAGAGGCTGGCCATAGCAACGCGTAGTGGGTACAGCTTGTAATAAATAAACTGTGCCCTCAACTGCAGATGCAGACTGTAGCCAGGAAATCAGGAGACGCTTACTTCTTAGGAGGAGAGCAATGACCAATCTTGATAAAATAGTGAAGAGTAGAGACATCACACTGTCAACAAAGATCTGCATAATAAAAGCAATGGTATTCCCCATAGTCCCCTACGGATGTGAAAGCTGGACTATAGGGAAGGCTGAGCCAAGGAAGATAGATGCTTTTGAACTGTGGTGTTGGAGGAAAGTTCTGAGAGTGCCTTGGACCGCGAGAAGATCCAACCAGTCTATACTTCAGGAAATAAAGCCTGACTGCTCATTGGAGGGAAGGATAGTAGAGGCCAAGATGAAGTATTTTAGCCACATCATGAGAAGACAGGAAAGCTTAGAGAAGACAATGATGCTGGGGAAAATGGAAGGAAAAAAAAAGAGGGGCTGACCAAAGGCAACAGGCCCGTAGCGGGGGGGGGGGGGGCTTGAGGGGCTTCAGCCCCCCCCCCCCGAAATTCTCAGGGTGGTCTGCGAGAAGGCCTTACTGGTACATTATTTAAACTGTTATGTTTATTCATATCATGATCTGATCACCATGCTCAATATATCCCATATGCATGGGGGTATTGGGGTAATGATACAAAAGGTTTGCTAGGGTAGACCTTCTTTCACCCACCCCCCACAATCAAAATCTTGGCTACAGCCTGAAAGGCAAGATGGGTGGATGGTATCCTTGAAGTGACTGGCTTGACTCTGAAGGAGCTGGGGGTGGTGACAACCTATAGGGAGCTGTAGGTCACGAAGAGTTGGAAACGACTGAACGAATGAACAACAACCCTCAACTCGCTTTTGACATTACCGCAGAATGAATACATTTTGGCCTTCCTTTAACTGCCCTGCGGCTCCATGCTGTGGACTTCAGGAGGGTGGAGTTTGGCGAGGTTTACGGGACTCCTGAGCTGGAGTCCTGGCCATTCTCCGTAGGTCGAGCAGAGCAGGCTGAAGACCTGGTGAAAGCACAGCTTCCAAACCGCACCGCTTATACAACCCAAGGGACTCCTATGCAAAAAGCTGAAAAGAATGGGCTGAGGCCCCTGGCCACGTGGGTAGGTAGTGCTGTGCCAGTGCCATCTCTGAAGGCGGCATCTCTGAAGGCGCTGTGACGAGACAAAGCGGTGTCCCTCCTCTTGTCCCCCTCCCTCCCTTTTTCTCCCAAAGGCAGGCACCGCGTGCGTCGAGCAACGGCCATTCCGATCCCTGATCCCGACCCCGCCCACCTTCGGGCGCAGAGCGGCCTCGCGCAAACACCCTCCTTCCTGGCTTCCGTGAAGGTGCGGGGACGCGCATGCGCAGAGCCCTCCCCTCGCGTGGGAGGGCAGGAAGGCGTGCTGACTGGAAGTGGCGTACGTGCAGCGCGGAGCTGGAGAGTGGCGGCGTAAGCTCCGCCCCCTCGGCGCGCGAGAGGAGAGAGAGAGAGAGAGAGGAGGGACGGTGGCTCGCGCCGGCCACGAAGGAGGCGGAGGACGTCGACAGAGCGACCCGAGGAGGCTTGAGGGGAGGAGAAGGAAGGAAGGGAAGGAGGGAGAGAGAGAGTGAAGGAGGCCTCTCGGCGGGAGATGAGGCGCTCCCCTCCCTTCCTCTGGCCATGATGAAGCGGTGGCGGTGGCGGCGGCAGGAGGACTGAGGCGCGGGCGAGGAGGCCGCGCTGACGGAGCGCCGCTTGGGGGGTGTGGGAAGAGCACGACGGCCATGATGATGAAGTGAGCCCGCCGCTCGGCGCTTGGCCTTCCGGAGGAGGAGGAGGAGGAGGAGAAGGCCGCCGCGGAGGAGGAAGCCGAGGCGTGGGGCGCGCGCGGCAGCATGGCCAATGACAGCGGTGGGAGTGGCGGCGGCCAAGGCGGCGGCGGGGGAAGCTGCAGCAACGGCAACAACGGCCACGGGTCCAACAGCTGCACCGCCAGCAGCAGCAGCAGTACCAGCGAGCGGGACCGGCAGTACTGCGAGCTGTGCGGGAAGATGGAAAACCTGCTTCGGTGCGGGCGGTGCCGCAGCTCCTTCTACTGCAGCAAGGAGCACCAGCGCCAGGACTGGAAGAAGCACAAGCTCATCTGCCGAGGGGGAGGAGGAGGAGGAGGGGAGGCGCCGCCGCACGGGCACACCAACAGCCGCCCCCACGCCGCCGAGGAGGCCAAGAAGGCAGCCAAGCCTCCTCCGCCTCCCCTTCCCCTGCCCCCTCCTCTTCCTCCCCCAAACGGGGAAGGGGACGCTGCGGCCACCAACAACCACGTTGCCAAAGCGGCGCCTGAGGAAGAGGAGGAGGAGGAGGAGAAAGAGAAGGACAAGGAGGAGGAGGTGGCGGCCGCAGCAGCAGCGGCTCCCCCGCCGGCCCGGGAGGCGGGCCTCCTCTACCGGGACAAGTCCAACTTGACGGGCGAGGCGTCGCTGCGGCGCAACGGGCAGATGAAGTCGCAGGTGCCCCAGCGGCTGGCGCTGGAGTACATCGTGCCCTGCATGAACAAGCACGGCATCTGCGTGGTGGACGAGTTCCTGGGGCCCGAGCTGGGCGGGCGCATCGAGCAGGAGGTGCGCGCCTTGCACCACACGGGCCGCTTCACCGACGGGCAGCTGGTCAGCCAGAAGAGCGACTCCTCCCGGGACATCCGCGGAGACAAGATCACCTGGGTGGAAGGCAAGGAGCCCGGCTGCAAGGCCATCGGGAAGCTCATGAACAGCATGGACGATCTCATCCGGCACTGCAATGGCAAGCTGGGCAACTACAAGATCAATGGCAGGACGAAAGTGAGTCGCCCTCCCTCTCTCCCTCTCCCCTATCCAAGGGTACAGTTATAATAATAATAATAATAACAACAATAATAATAAATGGGTTGTTGTAGGTTTTTTCAGGCTATAAGGCCATGTTCTAGAGGCATTCTCTCCTGACGTTTTGCCTGCATCTATGGCAAGCATCCTCAGGCAAAACGTCAGGAGAGAATGCCTCTAGAACATGGCCTTATAGCCTGAAAAAACCTACAACAACCCAGTGATTCCGGCCACGAAAGTCTTCGACAAGACATTAATAATAATAAACTTTATTTATACCCCTCCACCATCTCCCCAGAGAGGACTCAAGGTGGCTAACATGAGGCCAAGCCCAGTACAGCAAAGTAAAATACAACAAACAAGTAATAACATCAAATAAGATGCAAACAATACCAAGTATACAGTAAGCAAACGCAACTTAAAATGATGGAAAAATAACAACAGAGTGAGCAGTTGTCATATATTTAAAAAACGCAAAGTTTAATAAACTTGGCATTATGCTCAATGCCCTTTGACCAGAATCTGGCCACTTGGAGTGCCTCTGGTGTTGCTTTTAGAAGGTCCTCCATTGAGCATTATGGCAGGATTCAGGCTGCATTGTGGTAGGTGGTCTGTGATTTGCTCTCCTCCACACTTACATGTTGTAGCCCTATTTCTTAAGGTTGTTTCTGCATCTCGTGGTCCCAGAGCAAAGCCTTCCAAGTCGCCCAGTCTTCTGTGTGCCGGGGGAGGGGGGGAGGGAGGGGAGTCTCTCATTTGGTATCAGCCACTGATTGAGGTTCTGGGTTTTAGCCTGCCACTTTCGGACTCTCACTTGCTGAGGTGTTCCAGCGGGTATCTCTGTAGATCAGTGGTTCTCAACCTGTAGTCCCCAGATGTTTGTGGACTACAACTCCCAGAAATCCCAGCCAGTTTACCAGCTGTTGGGATTTCTGGGAGTTGAAGGCGAAAAACATCTGGGGACCCCAGGTTGACATCCACTGCTGTAGATCTTAGAAAACTATTTCTTGATTTAAGGTGTTGGCGTGCTGGCTGATATTTGAACAGGGGATGGGCTGAAGATGCCACTGCTTTGGTCCTTTCATTATTGGATGCTACTTCCTGGTGGACGTCAGGTGGTGCAATATCGGCTAAACCAGTGGTTCTCAACCATTGGGTCCCCAGATGTTTTGGCCTACAACTCCCAGATATCCTCACAGCTGGTAAACTGGGATTTCTGGGAGTTGTAGGCCAAAACATCTGGGGACCCACAGGTTGAGAACCACTGGGCTAAACAGTATAATTTCTTCAGCCCCTGTCCTCAAAGGCAGTGGTTCTCAACCTGTGGGTCCCCAGGTGTTTTGGCCTACAACTCCCAGAAATCCCAGCTGGTTTACCAGCTGTTAGGATTTCTAGGAGTGGAAGGCTAAAGCATCTGGGGACCACAGGTTGAGAACCACTGCCCTAAGGGCACCTTTTCATGCAGAACCGGCAGGGATGCTCTCGGGCTTTACTGACCTCTTGGTATGATCACTCCTCCTCCTCCCATCATTCCACCAGACATGGGCAAACTTGGGCCTCCAAGTGTTTTGGACTTCAACTCCATCAGTTCTTAACTGATCCCTGGGTATAATCACTCCTCCTCCTGGGATGCTGTGAATTTTCCCGGGATGTATGGCCATGTCCCAGGAAGCGTTTTCTCCTGATGTTTCGCCCACATCTATGGCAGGCATCTTCAGAAGTTGTGGGGGTCTAAAATCAGGACAGTAAAAGAGCAACACTCAAAAAGCAGGGGGATTCCAGACAAGAGTCAATCAGGGCCAGCTAACACCTCCCAACAAAGAATCCCCCCATGCAACAACCAGGCAAGCTTTGAAGCTGCAAGGCCATTCAGTGCTAATCAAGGTGGCCAATTGCAACATTCACACCTGCCTCAAGCAGACAGTTCTTTCTCCTACCCTGGACATTCCACAGATATATATGTTTGGAAGTTTTGGCAGGCCCTAATTGATTATTGTCTGTTTCTCTTCATTTACTGTCCTGATTTTAGAGTTTTTTAAAACTGGTAGGCAGATTTTGTTCATTTTCATGGTTTCCTGTTCAAATTGTCCACATGTTCCTCCTCATATCCTTCTACTCCCTCTAAACCAGGCACAGACAAAACTTGGACCCTTCAGGGGTTTTGGTCTTCAACTCCCACTATTCCTAACAGCCTCAGGCCCTTTCCTTTTTGGACTTCAGCCACCTAAGCTGAAGTCCAAAGCTCCTGGAAGGCCCAAGCTTTCCCATGCTTGCTCTAAAACATTTACTTCCAGGTATTACTTTTCAGAGCAATATTTGCAAAAGATGGGTACTTTGGAAAATGGTGGGAGGGGGGAAATCTCAAATTATTTCACGGGAACTTAATACATGCTTGAATTAAACAAGCCTTGCTTCCCAATAAATAGGCAGTTGAGGCTCCTCCGAAAGCGATCAAGCAAATACATTGTATTGTCGAAGGCTTTCATGGCCAGAATCACTGGGTTGTTGTAGGTTTTTTCAGGCTATATGGCCATAATCTAGAGGCATTCTCTCCTGACATTTCGCCTGCATCTGTGGCAAGCATCCTCAGAGGATGCTTGCCATAGATGCAGGAGAAACGTCAGGAGAGAATGCCTCTAGACTATGGCCATATAGCCCGAAAAAACCTACAACAACCAAGCAAATACACTGTTGTTTAATGGTCTGCAAGGGCAGGAGGGTGCGCATATGCTTGTGGCAATCAATGATCTCTCTCCATTGATTTCCTCCTGCAGCTGATCAATGTAATGATTGGGCTACAGAGGCAGTGATTGTAGTGATTGGAAGGAAGCTCTCGGAAATTAACACTTTGCTTTGGAATCAAATCAAAAAAGGCATAGTGGGTGTGGTCACAGAAACAGTAAAGTGGGATTATTCTTCATGATGAGTAGTTTTCCCACTTGTTAGTCTCATTCTCAGCTATTGGATACAGTTATGCTGAATTTTTTTTTGGGGGGGGGGGTTACGAATTCTGTCTGAAACTATCAGTTGCGCTAATTACAGTTGTTTTGATGTCATTTCCTGGTTTTTCTTTTTCAAAATACTGAAAGAATTGAGTATCAGAGGCCAACAACAACAACAACAACTTCATTTGTATAGCAGTCCACCCTCTCCCTGAAGGGACTTGGGGCGGCTTACATGAGGACCAAGCCCAGCATACAAACAAAATTTACCAGCTAAAACACGGTTAAAACATAATAACATATACCACAAACAATTTAATAAAAACAATGAAGAATGCAAAGTATAAAAACATCGCGAAAGTGTATAAAACCAACCTCAATAACCAGTAACCAGGAATATGGTAGGCATGGCAATCATCAAGGGACATATTTCATAGAAAAGATGTTATGCCATACCTCTTTGTTTTAAGGTGCCGAATGTATCAACACAAATGAATTAGGATTGTGGGATTTCTGGTGGTTTGCTTCATGTAAAAATTTGAAGCTCAAAAATGTTCTTGGAGGGTATAGTGTCTGTTACTCTACCTATGTATACTGTTTTGTGTTGTGTGTGTGTGTTTGTAATATAAAATTTACACCTTTAGGAGCTGTGCTAACTATCACATCCGTAGCATTTGGTGCCAGGAGTATAACAATTCTATATATTAATTTAACACTACCGCATAATGAGGACATCAGTGCACGGTACCTTCTCAGGACCTGTTTGTTTCATGCCCTTTATGTTAATGTTTCATGCCCTTTATGTTAATGTAATATAACATTATTGACAGAAGATACTGACCATACAGCAGAAAAAACAACTGAATTTGAGGGACTGTTGTGACATCAGAAGTAAAGTTGTTCCTGTCCCACGCTGCTACAGATCTTGGAACCAGGGAGAGGATTGATTATCATTGTACTTATCCATACATTTTTGTTCATGTTCTGTCAGACACCTCTTGAAATTGGTAGGCAGGTTTATTACTGTTTTAGAATATGTTACACAGTTGTTCTTAAAGCTAGTATACCAAAAACAGGTATACAGCCAAATCAAGCAGCTAAAATATTTAAACACTTGTTTTTTTAGATAGTTTAATATGCTGAAAGTTAGAAAAAAAATATATAGAACATTAATTCTAGTTATTTTTCTATTTGTATTCTTCATCTTCCTTGAGTCTCTTATCAGGCTTATGGTATTGTCAGCCCCTGGATTTTGAAATTCTTGGTGGAAGAAGCTAATTGGATGTGCCTTGGGGACAGGAATGGAAACAGGTCTCCCGCTAGCCCTCGTGTTTTTTATATATATTCACAGTGAGCAAAGAAGGGGCTGTAAAACCTTAATAAATCAGCTTGCAGTGGTTCTCAACCTGGGATCCCCAGATGTTTTTGACCTACAACTCCCAGAAATCCCAACCAGTTAAGATTTCTGGGAGTTGAAGGCCAAAGACATCTGGGGACCCCAGGTTGAGAACCACTGGCTTAGGGTTTTGTCTTTTTGTAGGTGATGTTATGAATTGGTAGATTTCTTTATTTAATCATGTGTCACAGTTCTGTCTTGTATCCCAGAGCAAGAGTTTGACCACTTAGAACCATTTTTCAATGTTCCACTGAATCTTCGCAATATTCTCCACATCATTATATCATAAAGCTAGCCAAAAGCCAAAATGAATTCTTGGACCACAGTAGCTGTTTATAGGAACTCTGCTTCCTCTCTGGATAACTTAATATCCAGAAGCTCTTACAGGTTATAAGTTGAATGGCGGTTACATGGAGCAACACTGAAGAAAGATTCTGGTAATGCTATCCCAGTTGGCCTAGTAGTTTTTCCTGAATTATATACACACTTGAATGCCTTGAGGTTATCTATGCTTATAGCATTGTGTATGTTGTTCTGAGAACTGATACATCAAGACTTTTATTCCATATATATATTATTGGAGTTACAAAAAAATCCGTCCTTTACGGTATGAAAGAGCATTCAGTGTTTAGAAACTGACA